TCCGTTTTGTAGATATTCGGTGTTTTTTATACTATTTTACTGGACTAATACGGATCGAAGAGAGAGAGAATAAAGAGATAAAAAGAATTAAATAAATTTATCTTTAAGAGTCCTAATTTGATAATCATTCATAAAAAATACAAAATATTGTACGAAAGAAATTAAGAATTCAAAGATAAATTTTTTGACAAAATTTCTGTTAAAGTCAAGTGTAAATAATTCCACTACTACTTCGTATAATATAGAGAGAGGTGTCTTCTTCAATGAGTCTACGTGTCAATGAACGCGATATGTGCAAATACGTGCGTAGTATCAAGTTCTGTCAATGAACGAATCGAGGTGTCTTCTCCTTCTGCTCCCTCCTTGCGAACGCTATTTTCGTAGCCCTCGTGTGAGGTGCTAGCCGCAAGAGATTGTAGCATTGTGGCATCGAGAATGAGCGCATTTTTTCCATCAGTTAAACCTTTTAACGCGATCGAAAATTTGTAAAAGCATGCATGTCTAATATTATTGATCATCGAAACGGTTCTTCTTTTACTAGTATCTATAAATCTTAAATTTTTACGAGATTTTTGCGAGATTTTGAACCGTATTTTCTCAAATAAGAGTATTACAATTTCATATTAAATTCTCTTTCTTTTGATAAATGTTTTTTTATTTTTTACAAGAGAATACAATAATTTCATACTTTTTTTATTTTTTTCATTCGAAAGCCGAAAAATTTAAAAGAATTTGCAATACAATTTTTTTAAAATAAATTTTGTATATTGTAAAGATTCCCTCTTTTTTTTTTGTTTTTATAAAATATTTTTTTAAATTCTTTTCTGACATTTGATATATTTTTTTTCATTTTTGATATGATTATCTTCGAAGCGTTCTCTATTTTTGGTCGGCCTTTCCGGGAGAATTCGAACATGACTGCGATACATTTTAAGAACGAAAACTAACGCGTTGAAACCTCAGAACTGGGAGCTCTAGTAGACATAGTAACTCGAAGATCAAAGGGTCATTCGTAAGCCCTTAAATCTCTTCACGCCGGAAAGACATAAATAAAATTCCGTTTTTTTTCCCGTGGAAAATTCGTTCCGCGTCAATATGTCAAATGTATCGCGAGTGTGTTTATTGAAACTGAACCGTTCTTTTTTCAAAACAAGGGGCACGATGTGTTTCGCAAGACTTCGAAGATTAGTATAGCGCGTATTGTCATAAATTCATCTCTTTTTTCATTCGATCAAACATTAAACATTTTTTCATATTGAATATTTTGAGCGACGTAAGCAAGGGTAGCAATCAATTATTCAATTGACACTCTTCTCTCCTGTTTTTAAAATTACCTATAACGCCGAGATCGAGACGGCTTAAATCGCATGAAAGTCTGTGCCCCGTGTTCCTATTATTAGAGGAAGTTCCAGCCAAGAGTGCACACAAGTCGCAGGCAAATCGGGAGACGGAGATAATATTGCGACGAGTGAATCCGAGGGAGAGACACGGAGAATCGAGGACGCGCTCAGAATCAGATCGCGTTTGCACATTATATATCGTATCGGAAAGAGAATTCTACGGATATATGTGTGCGTGTACATTTATGTGTGTGTGTGTGTGTGTATTATCATAGAAAAATCAATCAACGACGCGTGCAAACCTACGTAAATGCACGATCACGCGTAGCGGCCCTGCTCGTTTGTTTATACACAATCGGCGACTTCCACGTATGAGTCGCGAGATGCAACATGCAACCGCGCCGCGACGATTGTATACAGGGTGTTAAATTCATCTCTTTTCCTCTTAATATCGCAGCAGCCGGAACTTCTCTCTGTGATGTTTGAAGAGGAAGAGAAAAACGGCTAATTTTAATCAGCGGTCTTAAATCTAGTCAATGTTCAATATCCGTCATCGAGGAATCTGTTGTCGCGATGAAAATCGAGCGTGTTTCTGCCACATATAGTCGAAATAATCAGAATCGAGTGTGGTAGTTATATAATCAGAATATATATTAGGTGTACAACTTTGCTTCGGCCGTTTTTTTTCCGAAATTCGAGGCTTTATTGTAAAAAACTGGTTATACATTTATGATTCAAAGTATTGTCCATCGCTGGCCACTACTTTCTCCCATCTTTCGGGCAGCGTACGAATCCCGCGTTGAAAAAACTGGTCATCTTTTGAAGCGATCCACGAATCGATCCAATTTCTTACTTTTTCATAAGACCGGAAGTGCTGGTCAACCAGGCCGTGTGCCATTGATCGAAGCAAGTGATAGTCAGAGGGAGCAACGTCTGGAGAATACGGTGGGTGGGGTAGGACTTCCCATTTCAACGTTTCCAAGTGTGTTTTGACCACTTTCGCAACATGGGGTCGAGCATTGTCATGCTGCAAAATCACTTTATCGTGTCTCTCGTTGTATTGCGGCCGTTTGTCTTTTAATGCTCGGCTCAAACGCATTAATTGCGTTCGATAACGATCGCCTGTGATTGTTTCAGTCGGTTTTAACAGCTCATAATACACTACGCCGAGCTGGTCCCACCAAATACAGAGCATGACCTTGGAGCCGTGAATATTCGGTTTGGCCGTCGACGTGGAAGCATGGCCGGGATATCCCCATGATTTTCTGCGCTTGGGGTTATCGTAATGAACCCATTTTTTGTCCCCAGTCACAATGCAATGCAGAAATCCCTTCCGTTTTTGCCTTTCAAGCAACTGTTCACAAGCAAACAAACGCCGTTCAACATCTCTCGGTTTCAACTCGTACGGCACCTAATTTCCTTGCTTCTGAATCATTCCCATGTCTTTGAGGTGTTTTGAAATTGCTTGTTGAATCACTCCCAATGATCGTGCCAATTCTTCTTGACTTTGACTCGAGTCTTCATTAAGTAATGCCTCCAATTCTGCATCTTCGAAAACCTTCTCTGTTCCACCGCTATACCAGTCTTTGACGTGAAAATCACCGTTCTTGAAGCGTTGAAACCGCTCACGACACGTTCTTTCACTAATAGCGGCCTCACCATAAGTATTTGAGAGCATTCGATGAGCCTCAGCCGCAGATTTCTTCATATTGAAGCAGAAAATTAAAACCTCCCGCAAATGACGAGAATTTGGCTCGTAAACTGACATTTTCAATCGAGAATAACTTTATGATGCAGACACAAATCGACTAATGTTTCTATGGGGTTATGTTGACAGATGCCCAAGTTTATTGCATGACGTCTATGATCTATTTATTTCGACCACTACTTACCGCTAAAGCCATCTATAGGAAAACGGCGGAAGCAAAGTTGTACACCTAATATAAATTCTGAACACAAAAATACTTTGCCTCACTTGATTTCTACTCGGATGAACTGAGTTTTTGAATCTTAATTCTGATAAACACGGGATCTCTGTATTCATCAAAGTGTTCGACATTAAGAAAAAACATCCACGCGTTTGGGACACCCTGTATACGGGAATATCGAGCCTATGTATGCTGTGCATACTCGTGTAATTGCATCGCGCAGCTTGTTCGTGTGCGAGTAATCGGATCGGCGCAAGCTGATCTTTTAGCGCCGATAAACGGGAAGCGAGTTAATTGAAGGCGATCGCATTAACGATAAAAGCAGCCAACGGCAGCAGCGATCTTTCCTGCCTGGCTTATTGGTGATTTTTTATGATTTATGAAATATTGCAGATATATGTCAATAGATGCCCCTTCCCCCCGTCCATTAACTCTCTTGTATAAATGTATCGGTCTGACGTGGGAATGAAGGGGAATTATTAATTTCTTTTACTATTTTATATTATATATAATGTGTCTCATAAAGTTTGCGTTCAGCAATGTATTGTTTAAAAAATTTGCAGCCGCTTTACTTATTTGGAAATGTTTATACCAATATAAAAAATTATTTAACACTGAAAAAACAAAATAGTCTCTTTTGGTAAAAAAAGAAGAATTTTGCAGATGTCAAAATTGTTATCTAATTAATTGTGGATACATTTTATATATATTACAATAAAATATTTAATTGTTAGAAACATACGAAAAAAAAAATTATCTACATATGTATCCATTTTTTATGTGGAATTTTTTCAAATTTAACGCAAATGTTGCGAAAGACTATAATCATCTTTGAAGATATTCATTACTATGAATGCATATAATTGTACATACAAGGTGCATTATATTGTTTCTTTTTTTGGTATGTCATGTGATGTAGAGTAAGAAAAATGGATTTCCATTACGTTGCTATGACAATGCGATGATTCGCGATCATTTATTAATTACTGTCGTGCCTGTTGCTTCGACGAATTAAGTTGAGTGCCAGGAAAGGGTCGTAATTTCTCAAGACAATATTCTAAGAATCTCTAATATAATCGTAAATGATTGATTGCGCGAAAGAAAGTGTTAACGGCATTTTCGCGTGAACGAAGCCATCCTTCGCGATGAATTGAAGGTTATTATTAATGTTTATAGGAGCAAATTTCATCTATATTTCTCTCTCATCTGGCATTCTTTCTCACATCTGTGCTTTGTTGGCCAATCGTAGCATCTCTGATTTACGACGAATTTAAGCAAATGGGCCGTGAAAAGATTCGCGCGATAAATCGTGTAATGATGTTTCGAAGCGCGTCAAATCTGTTCTAAGAAATATTTGAAGAAAAGATTTCATGAAAATTGATATAAATGATCGAGAAATGCTCTAAGCAATTAAGAAACTTTTTAAAATAATTAACTTATCATAGAAATTAATTCATACTGGAAATTGAAGCTCTCCGATTATTGCTGTCGCTAAATATGATTTAATAACAGCTGATTATTTTTTTTTTTTTAAGTACACTTGAAATACCCTGCTTCTACAATAACTGAGCGAAACTTGTTGAATTTGATTTATTCTCACATTTAATCGCTAAATTCGTGGATTAATAAATTGCAATGTATGAATAATTTTGCAGATGAACTGACTATCTCGTATTCGATTTGAACAATTATCGAAATAGACATTCGAATTTTTTTTTTTTTTCGTTTTCAGGCACCAGCACGGACCTGGTGCCGCAGCTACTGGGCATGTTTGACGAGTTGGCGCGCCGTGGCGATGACTACGATGGCGAGCACGTGGTCTTGTCATCGTCCTGCGGCATCCCGCCGGCCCTGCAAAAACGTCTGAGCCTGGTGCCGACCGCCCATCGAGACTCCATACTCGGTCAGTTTCGCACTGGCAGTGACCTAGCGAAGTCTACGCATCAGCGGGACGATTCGAAAAGCAAGGAAGAGGAGAGCGAGTACGTCGAGATCGCGGACGTCACCGTTACCGATAACGCCATGCTGGTGGAAGCGGTAGCGTCGCTACCGGAGGACGGGGAACGTAACGGGGAAATCACCGAGAAGCCGATGTACGAGAGGCGAGAGAGCAACGGTCTTATCCCGCTCAGGTACAACAGACGACGCAGGAACGGCGCGGGTAGACCGCACTCCGGAAGCTCCATCGCGTCCAGCACGTCTTCCAGTAGCTGCAGCAATCAGGGCAACACCTGCACCGTGAATCCATATTTGGCCTCGGTCGAGTCTCTCGCCGACACCTGCGCCAGTTCGCAGGGCTCCGCGGACAGCGGAGTCGCGACCGTCTCGGAAGCCAGTTGTAGAATCTTGAACGACGACAATGGACCGAGGAGGGACAGCGCCGAGGAGGGCCCCGTGTGCCACAGGCCACGTTATTGTGATCCCCATCGTAACCCCGTCGAGAGGGTATTGCTGGAGATCGTGGATACGGAGGCGATATATGTCGAACATCTGCGCCAAGTCATTCAGGGCTATCTGATATTCTGGCGGGATGATCCGCCTTCGTTCGCGCGCCAATTGCATCTCGGCGATCTATTTAGCAATATCGAGGATATTTTCGTATTTAATAGAGAATTATTGGGAGATATCGAGAGATGCGGTTTGGATCCCGTTTGCGTAGCGAATACTTTTATCGAGCACAATACGGGGTTTAAAGTTTACACCGAATATTGTACCAATTATCCGAGGACGGTCTCCGTGCTGACCGATTTGATGGGCCGGGAGGAAACCGCGTCTGCCTTTCGCGAACGGCAAGCGGCTCTGGGACACGCTCTGCCGCTCGGATCGTTTCTCTTGAAGCCGGTTCAGAGGATCCTCAAGTATCATCTGCTTCTGGAGAATTTATCGAAGGAGTACGGCGCCGATTGTAATTTGAGAGAGAATGAGGCTGACGAAGGCGTGAGCGCCATCGAGGCTGCTCTCGCCGCGATGACTGGCATAGCGAAGCACATCAATGCCATGAAGAGGCGGCACGAGCACGCCGTACGCGTCCAAGAAATTCAATCACTTCTGTACGGTTGGCTGGGACCAGATCTGACTACGGGCGGCGAACTGGTCGCGGAGGGTCGATTCAGGATGCGCGGGGCCAAGGCACCACGGCATGCTTTCCTCTTCGATCGTATGCTTCTTTTGACGAAAAAGAAGGAGGACGGTCTTCTTGTTTATAAAGCTCATATCATGGTACGATTACTTTTATAGCTCTTCTTTATATGCAATTCTTTATCTTTTTTCACTTTTTTTTTCTCATGTGTTTGACTATACATATATTGATCGATTCGGTTTTTTCCTGAATAAGCTCTTTTTGAATTTTAATTTTAGTTCGGATAGTTGAAAGTTTTTAGTGCTTTTAATCAGTAATAATTTTTAATAAAATTATAATTTTTTTGGACCAAACGATCAGATTAATTTATTTATTTTTCTCTGAACAGATTTTTTTTAAAAATGATAAGAATCAGAGAGTGATTTTTGAGAAAAAGATACATAAAAATTAAAAAAGACGTTTTAAAAGAGAGCATTTTAAAGATTTTGATGCAATTCTAATATATTCGACATGTTTTGACTACTTAGATATATCCAAAAATCATTTTATATAGCTTATAAAATTATCTACTTTTTTAAATAAAGATTGTGATTTTTGTTTATTTTGAAATATACCTTCCTTAAATCCACTTCTCTTATCGATATATGCAAAACCACTTATATTTTTTATTATATATATACAACTATTTATTAAATTTTATTGAAGTAGCTTGTATATATTTTTTCAAATACTTATTAGTCGTAAATAAACATAAAATATATAAAACAATTTTTCTTTTCCTCGTGTTTCTAGTGTTCAAACTTAATGCTGATTGAAAGTATCCCGGGGGAGCCACTCAGTTTTCATGTGATACCTTTTGATAATCCTCGGTTGCAATATACGTTACAAGTAAGAATTATCGGGGTATTTTATTAATCGTAAAATAATGGATTTAAATACGTATGCGAGAAAAATATCCTTATTTAACGATCGACCATTTGTCTTTCAGGCACGTAATCTAGAACAAAAGAGAGAATGGACCTTACAAATAAAGAGAGTGATATTAGAGAATTATAACGCGGTTATACCGTCGCACGCGCGACAATTGGTGTTGCAATTGGGTCAAACGCAACAAGAAGGTATATACATGCAAATGGCAATATTGTATAATTGAAGATTTTCTGCTTTTAATCATCGCGCAAATTAGTGGGAAAAAATAACACACGATATTTTAAACAGACGATGCGTTGGCGGATAAAGGATCAGCGAAGAAACACTCCGCGCCTCCGGAATATCTGGAGAAACGTAAGCAAGAGAGGGAGAGACGTAGGTCCGAGACTGGTCTCAGGCAAAAGCTGAAAAAGGGCGTTAGAAAATCTGATACTACAATGGAGGTGAGATCTAGAGAATTCGCGAAAATTTCCTTTACTTGATATAAACCAGACATTTTATAGATCTTTTTACCGATATATCATTAGGGTTCATCTGTGTCGTCGCGCAAAGATGACAACGAAGATGTTGTTAATGACTCCAGGGAGCAAACTCTTAACAGGTCCTCGGATATACGCGTCTCGAAAGTTAAGGTATTATTGCTATATTTGCTATATAATATGAAAAACTATATATAATTTATATATATTTTATATGTATATAATTTATATGTATATATTCTGAAAAATTATTCTCTTTAAATTATTAGCATATCTTTTTAAATTTTTTTGGTATCTTTTTTTATTATTTTCTCATAAAAATTTAAACTTTTATTATTTTAGACACTTATTTCGAATCTAATTTCACTACATTTTTACGTTATTTTTAAAAATAATCTACAATACAAATAAACAAAATATAATTTTAAACATTTACCACACATTTTATATTATATATATATATATATACAAAATATGTGTCAGATTAAAATATAAAATAACTCAAAAAGTACTTAATAAAAAAATACTTTATTATAGTGTTTTGGAAAGCCCTCAGGATAAGCTATAAGAATATGTAATAAAAAAAATGGGGAGTTCCATTTAAGAAAACATCGACCACATTGACCTCACCTTGAAAAGACCACTTAAGGTCAAATCCATATTTTTATCATATGGCCCCCTCGAAACCATGCAACTTTTGTCTGAAACATATTTTGATATCTCACTTCGTTTCCGAAAAATATGCCCGCGTCACTATAAATGCCGCACCCTGTATATACAATCATTTTTTTGTCACTGCAATTCTTATTACTGTGATATTCTGGATAACTTGTACAGCAATCTATCATGTTTTACAATATATTGCAGTTTAATATGGAATATAAAGTTACTATTTTTTTATATTCTATAATTAGTTTCAAAAACCTAATATAATTTTTTTGCTTTCTATTGTAAAACAAAAAGTGTCATGTTATTTCTCTCATTTGTAAGATCTTATGAATATATAAATAAAAATTAAACATTTATATTATGATTCATTTTATATTATTTTGTAATGTTTCAAACATATGTAAATTCACACTTTAAAGATATAAATTTTCTTTTTTTTCTTTTCTCTCTAAATTCTCTCTCTCTCTCTCTCTCTCTACTTAAGAAAACTCCTTTTCTTCTCACTATATAATAATTAAATATAT